TATATATATATATATATATATGTGTGTGTGTATCACTCGTGCGCTAATTGGAAAATGTGTTGTCGGCTGATTATATTTCACCAGTGATTATATTTAGCAATGATTGCGCCTGGAGAATGAGAAAAGTATAGCATACATGCACACTCATACACATGGATAATAAAGTGATGTACATATACAAACAATTTTCCAACAAAGGAACGATTCGAACAAGACAAGAAAAACTGACAATGAGTATATCATAGTTTCTTATCAGCAATTCCTAATTACAACAAATAAAGCGACTTTGGAATTAAATCCGCTTGCAGACCGTTTTATCAGACATTCATTACTGTGTTTACCGCCTAGAGAGTATTTAGTTTTTGACATTAGAGAAGATTATGGATCGCATTCTACAAAAATGGAGACGTTATTTACTTGTGCAACCGCCCCTAATACTGTTATTGATATCTTTGTCGATGTCAGGTAACAAAACCATGATCTTTCATCTTAATACAACGGCTATATGAACGTACTTTTTACAGGTACTGTTTTCACAGATTTGCTAATATATCGCACATGCCTCGTAACGTTGAAATTAAACGAAACGGAGTGCCTTATACTTCATAACAATAGCACTAGCAAGGAGGCACTCAAAATTAATTGTTTGGCCCAACCGTACGTGGCCAACATTTTAATGGGTAAATCCTTCATAGAAAGCATTATCCCATCATTCCTAATGTTATTTTTAGGTCCATGGAGTGATAAATATGGCAGAAAGCCTCTTATGCTTTCCGGATATATAAGTAATTATATTTTTACTTAAGTACTAAAGATCTAGCTTAGAAATCATTAAGGTTCAGATATTCAATTGTGTAATCATATTTTTGTTGATGTATCAATATTATTGTAAAACAGAAATCGTGAGAGAAACTTTTTATTGTTTTTAGAAGTATTATATATTGAAATTAAATTATGTTGAAATAAAGTCTCAATAGAAATTAAAATTCAAACTTTAGAGATAAATAGCTTCGAGTTAAGCTGGGATTTATTGCTAATTAAATAATAACTTTAAATTATGAAAAAAATTAATGATGGAAAATGTTACAATGATATAAAATATAAAATTTGAATATGACATATTGTCAGAAATAATTGGAAGTACCATTGATATGATTCCTTTGTTATTTAGTATTATTACTTAAAATCCAACTTGATTCAGAGAGTCAAATATGTAATGTTTTTCCTAGAGCCGAAACGTAAAAGATGAATGCATACATATTTAAAAATTGTTACATTTTTACTCCAGAGAAAAAATTACATGATCGATTCTCAGAGCTCTTCAATTTTATTTTGTTTCAATTATATTGAATTATATTGAATTATTATAATAGATAGTAATAGAGATAAGAGAATATAATCCTGCAAATTACATGATAAGAAATTTCATAATTCACGTATTATTATTATTACGATCAATCCATGACGCTTTTAGGAAATGTAATAGAGTTGTTCACAATTTTCGTAATTCTAGGTGTATCTTTAACTTATATTCTACTCTCTGTAATGGCTAATTGGGATATTGTACCTTGGTATTTCCTGATAGCCTATATTCCTGTTGCTCTTTTTGGTGGCCTAAGCGTATTGCTATTAGCTTCAACGTGTTACATCACTGATATAATAGACGATAAAGAGCGGGCATGGCATTTTGCCTTTTTACAAGCGTTGATCTCTCTCGGTCTATTAATTGGATTACTTTCTGGTTCAGCGATATTTGGCGCATGCGGTTACACTGCTGTATTCAGTGTTGCGACTGTGCTCTGCATTCTGGCAACATTGTACATATTACTTTTTGTCCCGGAAACTGTACAGAATCAAACTTCCGTAGGTGTTTCAAAGCGTTCATTAAGTCAAGTCAATTTGAAAGAAGTAGACGCACAACCCAACTTTCAATTAGAGACTAAATTATTAGAAGATGAATTAGAATGAATATTTCAAATGAATAGCGAATAATCATCGCTTTTATTTATCTTTACAGGGTATCTGCAATGTATTTGATTTAACGTTAATAAAAGATCTTATTGATACATGTGTTAAGAAGAGACACGGATTCAATAGATCGTTAGTCTGGAGCTGTGTAGCTTGTCTTACATTTCTCTTGATTGTTTTTGAAGGCTCTCTCAGTATCGGATATCTGTTCGTAAGCGCGCGGCTTGGCTGGACCATACAACAGTATTCTGTTTATAATGCTGTAGATATCGTAATACAAGTATTTGGAACGATATTTGGTATCAAAGTAATGCGGAAATATGCAGGTTCATTTTAACAATACTTTAACATATTTGTCGTTATTGTTGTAACAATTTATCAAGAATTTATGAAATACTTTGAATGATTTAGGATTTCCAGAGACTGTAATTGCTATCGTATCTATTATATCGTCTTTTGGTAGTGCCTTGGTACATGCCTTTACATGGTTGTCTTGGCATATGTATTTATCAATAGTTCTAGGAATGTTTGGTGACATATCTCGACCGATGATACGTGCTATATTATCCAAAGCAGTACCTGTGCAAGACGCAGGTAAAACCTTGTATTTTGATTTTAATAAATGATTATAAAATGAATTATAAAAATAAAGAAAACTTATCCAACAAACACCAACTAATAATAACATAATTGTTAGTATAATTTCTATTTAATAATATAATTGTAGTATAATATATAATTATTGTAACACAATGGTTGTTAAATGGAAAATTATAATTAAGGTTTATGTTACTATTTGTTGCTGTTTGCTGGGTAGGTTTGTAGATAAAATATTCTTACTCTGTGTACAATCTCTAATGGTTTTCTGAAGTATTTACATTAATCTTATAAAGAGTATATTAAAAAATGTATTTATTTCAACAGGGAAGATTTTCTCTGTAGCTATGACTCTAGAGACACTGTTACCATTTGCAGCAGATTCTCTGTATACTTTTCTGTACTCCCACTACATGCCACCTTTATATCCTCTTCCAGTATGGTTTTTATCGATAGTATTTTACGTCATAACTATTGTGATATTGATATATATTCAAATACAAGTGATAAAAAATATTACAGTGTCTTATATTCCAATAACAGAAGATAATAATGACTGTTGATATCTTATCAAGAAGACACAAGTACAAACGTTCTTACTCAAAAATAAATCAAATGATTAGCTAAATGTGAGAAGAAATATTCTATATTTTTAACAATATGTAAAGTATTCTTTATTGTATATTTATAGATTTTTAGATTTGTGAAATTTTTATATTATATATACAAATTTGTGAATAAAAGCCATGTATATACTCTTTTAAATGTTTTAATTATTATTATGAACAATTTCCAATGGCCTCGCATTTTTATAATTTGATGCTCAATGTGTAATCTGTTTTTTATGACGGAAGGAAAGAAAGTGTTAGTATTATTAATACTTTTCATATATATGTATTTTTTCTATGGACATTCTTAACATTTTTTTATATTGCAATATTTTACAAAATAGAATTCGTATGCAATTAAAATAGGCACATAAAAATATGATAACCATTTTATGACTTGGGATTTAAAAAAAATAACTTTGTAGATACATTAATTGTTATTCTAACATTATTAACTTCGGTTATTTATTTAAAAAGAAAAATTGTACATATTACCTAAATAGTATAGATTTCCCAGGAATGTTCTTATGTTTTACGAACGTCCTAAGATGTTCCCAGGACATCTCTCAAATAAAATATGCTGTATAGATCAAGTATTTATACAGACAGAAATTCTATGTATATTTTATTTTGTAAGTTCACTTTCTTTAAAAATGTAAAGCAAAATTATTTTTAATATAAAAGAATGAATTTATTTACTGAGAATTTCTCTCTATAAATATTGTTATTTTTACTTTTCACAATTTATCGTAATAATCCACATGATCGGCTGAATTGTATTTATGCTCTTTTAAGACTTGCACAAGGCGATTAACAGTCTGCTCTGCGGTCAATACAGTTTTCTTTTCTCGCATTTCATTAAATGCCTTTTTAGTTTTAGGATCAACCATTTTTTCGCAAACCATAGTAAACATATCCGTGTCGACAGGTCCAGGTGAATAACTCAATACATTCACATCAGGGTTTTCTAAAGCAAAAACCTGTACGAAGAAAAAAGCATATTGAAAAAAAAGTGATATCTATTTCGTGATTAAGTGGATATTAAAAAACATATATATATACCTTAAAGTACATTTCTCGTGCTGCTTTCACCGAGCAATATTGACCACAGCCAACGACTGCTTGAATACCAAATAAGGATGTAATATTGATAACCATCTTCTTGATAATTTTACTATTAAATGTATTCATGACCACCGTATTCAATACAGTAGGAATGAAAAAGTTCAGGTCGTAAAATTCTCTCCAAATGTTTATGTCCCATATATCATTTACTTGAGAAACATTGCCTATGGAACCTACATTATGTATTAGAACCATTCGATTAAACGCATCGGGGGTAGTTTCCTTCAAAGATTCCGATAGAAATTCTAGAACATTATATTATAAAAGAAATACATTTTTTTTTTCAGCGATTATATCTGTATTTAAAAAAACGCTTGAAAATGGAAACTTTAACTTACCTTCGAATTTTGTTTTATTAGTTGATTTATTTAAATCTGCACTAATAGTACAGACTTTTACTTTAGAAGGTATATTTTTCGCGACTTCTTGCAACGCATCTTTATTTCTCGCTAATAAAAGAACACGCGAGCCTTCCTCCAGCATTGAACCAAATGTTATCGCAATCTGGCGACCAATTCCACGACTTGCACCAGTTACCAGTAGAAAAACTTTGCCAGACAATGCTTCAATCGACATGGTTGTCTTATATTGTAAATTTATGGAAACTAATTATTAAGCTCTGACTTGTATTCTGTTGATGGATTTATTTGTAATTCCTCTGTATTATTTTGTTCTTCCTCCGCCTGTATGGTTGTTTGAAGTACATCCGCTTTCAGAAGATGAACTAATTCGCTGGCTGTTAAAGCCTACAGATAACATATCAAATATTATATGTTAATATTATGTACATGTATTTACAAACAAAATAAAACTTTGATAAGATTCTGTTACAGATAAGAATAATTATTTGGAATAGCCTCTCCCTTCCCCATCTAAAATCTTAATAAAAATATGTTTTCATTCAAAACGAAAAAAATCTGACAAAAATCGTGGCACTTGTGAGTTATTAAGTGTTAAATTTGGAGACTTTAGAAGTTGATAACTGTTAACCTGACTTAAATAGCTATGTATATGTATATATATTTTGCATTAGTTACACAAATTCACTGCTTTAAAACATATTTAGTGCTTTAAAAACGCAAATTTACTGCTTTAAAAATATAAATTCACTGCTTTACAAACACAAATTTACTGCTTTAAAAACACAAATTCTCTGCTTCACAAACACAAATTCACCAATGCTAATGCAAAAAATTTGAATACTAAGCAGTGAATTTCTGTAAATTAAAGTACTGTTTTCTTACCAGATTCTTTTTGTTTTGAGTGAAATACAATAAATAAATGTATTTTAAGATTAAGATTTGAAGTGAAGCAGGGGGGGGGGGGAGGAATTTTAAATAATTACCCAGATAAAATTCTGATAAATGATAAACATATATAATCTGATATATAGGCTGTAGTCAAAATCTTACTACAAATGCTTTGAAGCATTTGATTGATATAAATCAATTAAAAGAAAGAATTTTACAAACTGATCAATTAAAAAATATTTCAAAGCATTTGCAGCATCGCTTGACCATAGATATATTGTGTTATATTTGATTGATATAGACAGATTATATATATGTTATATTCTAAATTCTAAGTCTTAGAATCTAAGGATTTATTGCTTATTATTTTGAAAGATTCTTATACAACACTCAATGTTTAGAAAAAATCTTTATGCTTGGATTTAGCAAATAAATATTATAAGAATCGTATTCTCAATCATTATCATCATAAGCATATTATTATTATTATTATTATTATTATCATTATCATTATCATATTATGATCATTATTATCCAAATGCTCACCTGCAGATGAGGAGCTATGTGCCGTACCAGAGGATTCGACGCCAATTCAGCTTCTTCTTCAGATTGGGGATTGTTCCCAGAGGTGATTAAACGCGCGATGCAGTCCTCCTTTGCCACTGACAGCGACGTCACAAGATCCTTTTTCGTGGTGCCTCCCTGAAGCACTTTCAATCTAGAATCTGTCACAGAAAAAGAATTAGAATTATCAGAAAAGTATTAGAGATCGTAGAAAAAAATCAGTCAAAGGCGTGAACCAGTTCTTACATAGCTTTTGTAGATATTGCTCAGAGTCGGATAATCTGCGATGACTTGGCCGGTCTTCGTCCAAAAAAGAATCTTCAAAACGATCGTTCGGCGTATCGTCGTCGACCACAGCTTCCGCACGCGTTCCGCGCCAAGGATCACTTGCATCCGTTTTCATTTCTAAATCATGCAGTTATCTAAAAATGACTTTGCTTAAGAATTGCTCACTTTCGCTTTTTTCCTCTGTTAATCAACTGACACGAGGAGATTGCATATTATGTAAGAACGTTGTACTCCCATGATAAAAGCATTCCGCCACCAGCGAAAACAACAGATATCAATATATACTGTTAAGAGTGGTATCGACGAACGATATTTTAGCATTTAAATTGATTATAATGAGATTTTTTACTGATATCATATATATATATATATATATATATATACATTTCCTCTAAATCACATTTACATATAACTACTTTAAAATGAACTATATTTTGGATTAATTTTATTATATGTATAATATATAGTACACACACACACACACACACACACACACACACACAAAATATAAAATAAAATAATATTGAGTATGAAATTATCGCGCGCATTATATTAGTCAAGAGTTAGTTAAGATATATATATATATATATATGTATCCTAT